CTCCTCGTTTGATGAGACGTGATGTTTTTAAAATGCCCAGTTAAGGGTTGCTAAGCACAACATAAACGAATAAATACGTCTGTAACAATGTTGCACTGTGTGTATTCTTTGTGTGTTTGTCTGTATTTTAATTCGTATCTCAGTATTGTATATTCATGAAATGCAGTGTTTCTCAAAAGTTACTTTTTTCAATTAAATTTTTCCACGGCGCCCTTATCTAAGTAAAAGTATGACTATTCTATGTAGGAGATTTAAAAAAAAAAATTGTTGTGTATCTTCGAATATTTCGCGGCGCCCCTGGGAAGAGGTCACGGCTCCCCGGGACGCCGCGGCTCGCAGTTTGGGAATCACTGATGTAATGTACTGATGAAGACCCTCTAACCGCAACGTTCACCTGTAGTTTGTGTTTGTCACAGTGTTTTTTTTTTTTTTCTATTAACAAGACGAAATACCATTACACCTCAGCGTTCACACTGCTGCTAAACGTGAGAATTGTATGAGTATCTATAGGTGCAGCCAAACACGAGAGTCACACCAGACATATGAGAGGCAGAGCGTTACAAAAATATGTTAAGGGGAGAATCTTGGCACCTATAAACAAGTCTGGAGTGCTAAGAATGTAACTGACTTCACAGTTCAGTTCATTTTAAAGCCTGGGGGTGGGGGGGGGGGGGGGGGTCAGTGTGTATCATGGCTCGGAGATATTTGATTTTATGTCGCCAGAATCGAATTTTCATCTTTTTTTAGATGGGGTGTTTAGCACATGTGTGTTTGTGTGTGGACACGAAGTTGGTTGTCATGTAAAGTTATCTGTGGAGAAACGTTAGTTTTGTGTTCAGTAAAATAATATTGTTTAATGTGATAATTATAGTTGCGATTGTTTTGATTCGGATTAGAACTTGAAGTGTGCCTAGTTTTACTGTAACTACTAATTAGACTTCATACATACTATATCCTTTCTGGGTTAAGTTATTATTGGTCTTAGCCCTTGCCTAACGAACTTTTTTTTGTCTCGTTACTGAAGCGGCTTGAGTGTGGGTTGGAGTTCAAAGTCGAACTAAGAAACTTCCGTGAATTTAACTATCTGGGGTCAAAGTTAAAATCAGATAGTACAATAAATATAAGTGTATATAAATGTTACTATACATCTCTGAAAGAGATGATATTATTGGGGGTGGGAGAAGGGTGGGGGGGGGGGGGTTGTGTACTCTTTATAGTTCTGTTTTATAAGTTGCATGTTCTTGAGGTTGTCCGTTGTATCTTGATGACATGGCTAAAAAGGCAAACTTTACTTTCTTTAAATCTTTAGACGACGAGGTAAGGAGGGGAAGTACATCGTAAGTATAAACATAATCGTTACAACAGAAGCAAAGTATAACAAGGAATAACACTAGTTACAACTGAATCGAAGGATAACAAAAAATAACAATAGTTAAAATAGAAGCAAAGTATAACGAAGAATAACAATAGTTACCACTGAATCAAAGTATAACCAAGAAGAACAATAGTTACAACAGAAGCAAAGTATAACCAAGAATAACAATAGTTACAACTGAATCGAAGTATAACAAATAAACAATAGCTACAGCAGAATCAAAGTACTGCAACGAATAACAATCGCTACAACAGAATCAAAGTACGACTAAGAATAACAATAGTTACAACAGAATCAAAGTCCAACAAAGAATAACAATAGCTACAACAGAATCAAAGTACTTCAAAGAATAACAATGGGTACAACAGAATCAAAGTATAATAAAATTTTGCAGGGATTACAACAGAATCAAAGTATAACAAAGAATGACAATAGTCACAACATAATCGAAGTATAACACAAACATAGTGGCTACAGTATAATCAAAGTATTACCCAGAGCTACAACAGAATCAAAGAATAATAATGGCTACAATAGAATCAAAGTATAACAATCGTTACAACAGAATCAAAGTATAGCAAAGAATAACAATAAGTACATCAGAATAAGATTATAACAATGGTTACATCACTATCAATGTATAGCAACTAATAACAATAGTTACATTAAAAACAAAGTATAAAAAAGAATAACAATAGCTACCTCAGAATCAAAGTATAACGAGGAATAAGAATAGTTACAACAGAATTGAAGTATAAAAAGAATAAAAATATTTAAATCAGAATCAAGGTTTTACAAAGAATAACAATAGTTACAACATAATCAAAGTAAAACAAAGAATTGTAACGGCCATAACAAAATCAAAGTATTAAAAAAACCGACACAAACTTACCAATTCACTTACCTAAGAACTTAAGGTGCACATCGCTTTATCTCTGTTGCCTGTGGGAGCTAATGTGAAATGCGCCCCAAAAACTTCGTGGTTTCACAACAACTAGACCAGATAGATACCTTAAACAATATCAGCAGCACTATGGCCTCATTTGAAAGTAGGCTGTTTTGGCTTCAGTTGGGATGACCTGCATTGATTCTACACTGGAGAAATAAGCATTTGGGTCAATAGAAAGTGCGATAACACGGTAAAAGGTCATAACCACCATTGGCGAAGAGTGATCAATTCCCGCGTGTAAGTGTTAGCAGGTAACGATTATATACAGGAACAGTAGTGGCTGACACATATCAGTTTCATATTCGTGCCACGGAACACAGGCGTGGTTAGGGTGGAAGTGTGTGTGTGTGTGGGGGGGGGGGGGGGGGGTAGGTGATCAAGCTGATAGCCTTGCAGTTATGGTTACTATAGAGGAGGGAGGTGTCATGGACTAGGCTAAAATACTGAATTCCCTACGAGAAGTAAGACGTCTGTAAAAACCAAGTGATGTCTGTGAATCTGAAACCATGACCAGACTGCAAGAATAACATGTTGAAAAAGGGGTGTGTGTGTGTGTGTGTGTGTGTGTGTGTGTGTGTGTGTTTTCAGAAACTATTCGTCTGTGTATTCAAAAACTGTTTTCAGTACTTTTTGGCAAAATTAAAATACTCTAAATTTTAAAACAATAAATGGTGGCCGAAAGGTCGTTGTGTTTGGAAGCTCGCTCTCCTTCGAGATACGCCTAGCCAGATCAAAGTGAGACAGAACAAACAGGAAACACCAAGAATGAAGAAGGAAGACATGCACCAGTGACAACAGGACGAGCGGTTTGATTCGGATGGAAGCATTAAGCCAGAAATGGCACAAACACCAGTATTCAGTCACGAAAGTGACGCAAATAACCCAGACCACAAATATAGGCGGAGACTGTTAGCAGCCTAGGCTAGCTAGCAGCAGTCTGAACGTGGTCGAGCTTTTCTTTTTTTTTTTTTTTTCTCAAAAGGACTTGGACTTGGACTTGTTAAGAACTATGGATATCGCAACCCTTCGGCCTTGATTCCCTGACAGATAACGTAAATCTGGGAGAAATGTGGCTTTTCTGCCTACCCCCAGGCATGAACCTGTACCACAAAGAGTTCTTCACCTGGCCGCCACAAAGTCCGGTTTAACCCACTGAGCTACCGCGCCGGGCAAGCGTTGTGGCCAGACAAGAGCACAATGTAGTAAGCCAAAGAGTCATAAGAAACCAACACAAACAAATGTCGCCAGTCGCAGTCGTCTAACTAACTAGCTTTCACGCGTTACTGTTTATGCACATGTCACATAAACGAATGTTTTATTAGGGCACACGCAACGTTTGTCTCCCCACGCCCTGCCAATATACACACCAGCTCCCTTCTGATTGGTAGTTTCTGAACCTGTCACCTTGGCACAAAGCTAAGGGGGAATTCCGCAATGCCATTGATATAGCGTATTGTATATTTCAGCACGCCAGAGCTTGTAACACTCCTAAAACATAGAGAAACTGGCGCTAACAAAACCCCCTAAAGAGTGCTGCAACCTATGTCATAGACATTCTCTTTCTTGGAATAAAAACGTAAAAATAACGCAGAAAGTAACAACAGAGCGGGACACACCCGTAACCTTCAGGAAAGTCGACCGAAAAGTGACCTACTCGATTTGGACAGATTAACGTTATTTTAACATCTGTTAGTTATCTTCGAGACATAAACCAAGTGACTTTGCTTAGAATGATTTGTGCCCCCCCCCCCCCCCCCTTTTTTTTTTTAAACAAGGGGTCAGAGTCTGACATTTGTTCTAGTTTACGTTGACACAGGAACCGTGACCCGTATGATGTGACCCGTTTACTATGACGTTGACGCAGGAACCGTGAACCGTATGATGTGATTCGTTTACTATGACATTGGCACAGGAACCGTGCAGTTCCTCTCAAATATCACCCTCTTCCCTTCACTATCATCCTTCCCACTTCAATCTCACTAACATCATCAATCATCAAGTCTTTTATAGAACGTCTCTCTTTTCACGGCACGCCTGAAAGTATCCCTTTCAAGCTCTCCATCCCCATGTGCTTTCAATGCCAATGCATCTTCAGTGTCCTGTATGCATCTTCGCGGTGGTCGACCCCTGCCTCGCCTTCCACAAACTGCATCCTCTATCACCGTCTTTCCAAGCCACCATGACACCTGATGTGGCCAAAATACGTCAACTTTCAGGACAAGATGCTGTTTATGAGCCAGTTCTCCTTGATGTTCAGCTCGTTTAAAATGTCAATGCTTTTAATGTTCTTGATCCATGGTTCTATACACTTGTAAATGAAAAGTGACCTACTTTGTCTGGGGAGATTAACGTGAACCTAACTCTATCTATCTATCTATCTATCTATCTATCTATCTATCTATCTATCTATCTATCTATCTATCTATCTATCTATCTATCTATCTATCTATCTATCTATCTATCTATCTATCTATCTATCTATCTATCTATCTATCTATCTATCTATCTATCTATCTATCTATCTATCTATCTATCTATCTATCTATCTATCTATCTATCTATCTATCTATCTATCTATCTATCTATCTATCTATCTATCTATCTATCTATCTATCTATCTATCTATCTATCTATCTATCTATCTATCTATCTATCTATCTATCTGTCTGTCTGCCT